TGTTTTCCATGACAGTTTTAAAAAATTAAATTGTTGGCATATTTCTGTGGGGTCTCGGTGGATTCCATTCTCCCACCCTTTTGCTAGCAGCCCAGCACATTGTTTGTATCATCCTGGGACTCCACATGTACACATACACATGCATATGTGTGTATGGGTCGTATGTTTACATATGCATATATATGCAATATATGTATATATACGGATATGCATCTATATACACACATAGACAAAACAAATGTAGCAAAATCTTATCGGTTGGTGAATTTAGGATAATGTTTGTTAGTATCTTTGTGTTGATTTTTTTAACTTTTCTATGGATATGAAATTAAAAAAAAGACAGAAATCTCGTCTGTGTGTTTTAAGGTGACCAGGATATTGGGAATATGAGCTGCCAGTTGCTGTGAAGCCAGTTTGTGGCTTCAAATTTTCAAGATTTTGTTTCTTCTTTTCGGCCTCCCAGTTCAGGAAAGTGGTCATGCTGCCCTTGTCCGGGGGTGGGTGTTTTCTGAAGTTCTGGGTTTGGTGCTATCCTGCTAAACAGAAGGTTGAAGGTTCCAGTCCAGAGAAAAGCCTGATGAACAACTTTCTCAAAATTGAACCTCGCCTGGAGCACTGTTCTACTCCGACACAGAACGACGAGTCATGAGTTGGAGTCAACTGGACAAATGATGGTTATTTGCAAATCTCTTCTCATGTTCCCCACCTTGTGTGGTGCTGGGCTGTGTCTCCTGGACCCTAGATTCCCCTCTTGCTGGCAAACTGTGGAGCTCATTATTCTCCAGGTAGCTGGAAGCTTCAGAGGTTTTAGCACAATGGATTCCTATACATTTTTGTTAGTTCAACAACATGTTTTAAATATATGTATTTTTCCATTTAAAGATATTTTTAAATGTACCGTGGTAAAGTGTAAGTGTAAAAGCCAGTGACATTAATAACACTCACCAGGTGGAATAACCACTATCACTATCCCCTTTTCACACATTTTCCATTAAACCAAACCAGAACTCACTAACCATTTAACAGTAACTCTCCACTTACTTCTGCTGTACCCACGATCGTTCTTTCTATTGTAGGTAGGTCACGTCAGTGGGACCCTTCAATACGTGTCCCTTTGTGTCTGATGGACTTCACTTGCATGATGCCCTCAAGGGCCAGTACCTATTGGAACTTCATTTCTCTTTGTCATATCCTATTGCACAACCACATTTCATTCATCCATTAGCATTCGCTGATGGACACAGGTAATTTCGATCTTTAAAATATTATTGTGTCTAGCTTTTTTGTTGTTGTTGCAGTGATAGGGTTATTCAGGATATTTACTCTTCTTTTTGGCAAGGTCTTAGATTTTAAGATATTAATTGCTATCTATTCATGTCTAACTCACTCAACAAAAAGCCACTGTCATCGAGTGGATGCCAACTTACAGTGACCCTGTAGAACAGGGTAGAGCTGGCCCTGTGGGCTTCCAAGATGGCAACTCTTTTTTAAAAATAATTAAATCATTTTATTGGGGGCTTGTACAACTCTATCACAATACACACATCCATCCATTGTGTCAAGCACTTTTGTACATTTGTTTCCCTCATCATTCTCGAAACATTTGCTTTCTACTCGAGCCCTTGGTATCAGCCTCTCATTTCCCCCTCCCTCTCCCTCCCCCATGAACCCTTGACAATTTAGAAATTACTATTATTTTGTCATATCTTACACTGTCCAACGTCTCCTTTCACCCACTTTTCTGTCTCTCAGGGAGGTGGTTATATGTAGATCCTTGTAATCAGTCCCCCTTTCTAACCTACCTTCCCTCCACCCTCCCGGTATCAATCGCCAGTCTCACCACTGGTCCTGAAGGGATCATCTGTCCTGGATTCCCTTTGTTTCCGGTTCCTATCTGTACCAGTGTACATCCTCTGGTTCAGCCGGATTTGTAAGGTAGAATTGGGATCATGATAGTTGGGGGAGGAAGCATTCAAGAACTAGAGGAAAGTTGTATGTTTCATCATTGCTCATGGAATCTCTTTACACGAATAGAAAGCCCAGTCTTCCTCCCGAGGAGCGCCTGGTGCTTTTGAGTTGCTGACCTCAGTTGGAAGGCCAACGCATGACCACTAGGGCGGCGGCAGTGGTTCCATCTGTTGTGCATAGCGCTATGGGTTGGAATGGACTAGATGACATCTATTCATACTCTATTAGCCGACATGCAGAAGTCTTTACTACATTGTTCATTCTTTTTGTTGACTCTTACTGTGGTTGACGGTTTCTGAATAGTTTTAATTTTGGATTCTGAGTTCATTTTCTGAGGTGACGTATTGTCAGGATTCTTTGAAGGTTGGTTAAGAACCCACCTCTCCACAGACAGTTTTGATAATTCCCTGCCAGTTGGTCTTGTATCTCATTGGCATGTGAAGTTTTTGTGTTGCCAGTCGTCACATAAGCTGTCACACAACTGTCACATAAGCCCATGCTTAAGGAGACACTTAAAAGCAATTCAGTCACAGATGACGAGGTCCCTTTGTGTGAGGGCCAGTTTTTCTCGTCCAACCCTCTGCAGAACCCAAGTTCTGTGAGTAGAAGTTACATTTCAACTTCCTAGGGCCCTAGGCCTTGTTTCCTGCCCATACACATGGAACCTTGGAGACTGATTTATCTGAGAACCTGCCACCTAGGATAGGCTGCTTCCACTACAACCTCAAATTCCTTGCATCTCTCACAGATCCTTTCAATGTCAGGCTACCTAGTCTATTAAGAAGGCACCCAGGTGGTATTGCAGATTACTTGTTAGCTGCTATCTGCAAGGTCAGCAGTTTGAATCTACCAGCTGCTCTATAAGAGAAACATGGGGTTTGGGGCTCCTTGTACCATTTTGTAGCCTCAGAAACCCACAAAGGCAGTTCTACTCTGTCCTATGGGTCACTATGTGTCAGAATCACCTTGATTTCAGTGAAGCTTTCTCCCCCCATATTTTTAAAACTGTAGCTTATAAATTATTGAGATGGACATTTCAATCACCTGACTCTGTGCAGCAACAGGGCGATGAAGGCTCAACATCTTCTTTGCTGGCACCTTTGAATATTATTTCATTTTGCTCCATGCTCAGATTCACATTACAAATAGTGTTATATTTATCTAGGATCTTTTGGGATTTGTGTTGGAAGAGTTTTCAAATAATCTGGATTATTTTCATACTGGAATTTCTTACTCTATTATTTTTGTTTAGGGGACAAACTTATTTCTTCTATATAGTAGCAGAAAGAGACGTCTTAAACTTTTTCAGCTTTCTCCATTGAGCCAAGTAATAAATAACATTTACATACAAAACCAAATTCAATTAAAAGAAACCTTAAAACAAAATATGATTCGTGCAAACAATCTCAGTGACAGAAACACAGTGGCACTAGAGAAATCTTTGCTCTGAACTAGCTTCAGATGTTCAGGTGCAAGGACCATGTTGACCTAATTTATCCCAGTGTCTCCAGTGCTCGTTCTGAAATACTACACAGTGTAGGTGCTCAGTTGAACTTACTTTATCTACTCATCAAAGAGGAAAGACATTTTTCCTTTTTGGGTAATAGTTTGATACCTGCACAGTGGCACACAACAATTACTGTTTCTTTCTGAAAATGTCCCTGCCTAGGCCTGCACCCTGACAACTTCCCTCTGAGAACATGATATTGGCATATGCCGCGCTCCTGTGCACTGTGAAGAGGAGAGGGTTGACCCCTGAATTCCTGTGGGACTTTTGGACTCTCCAGATGTACTTTCTCTACAAAAGGTCAGACTATGCAGGCACATTTCAGAAAGGAGTTTACCAGTAAGTCAGTAAGTGAATCTCCCCAGCAAACATTCCTGTTCAGGTCAACTGCCTTGGTGAAATGCGAATGAGCCCCAGAGAGTCAGTGGTGGGTTTATTACTTGCCTCCCAATACATCTATTGTGTCCTCATGCATGTTTGAGGCAAAAGATCCAGAATCTAAAATCTGAGTGGGATATAGGGAGATCAGATTGGTCACTGATTTAGTCTGGAGGTTCCTCTGACTTTGGAGCCCAGATCATGGTGGAAAGAAACAGATTTGATGATGCAACGTGCCCACGTACTAGTGCCGTGCCCCAACTCCAGTAACTTAGTTCCTCTAGTAACACAACGTGCTTTCAGGGTTGGTTACTAGGAAAAAAGGAACAGTCTCAAAAAATAATTACAGATATTTTAGGCATATCTTCAATACACTTTCAGGAAACCTCTGAGCCAAGGTTATCTGCGGTCTAGGCACTTAGGATAGGCTTCTCCGTATAGCACTTCAAATGCCTTCCATCTCTTTTACATCTTGCAATCTCACGATTCCCTGTGCTAAGGCTCCAGGATTTCCCAAGGCCCACCTCTTTGCCACTCTTTTTTCAACTCTACAAAGTGACAATGGTAACGAACTCTGATAGAGCTGTTAAATCTAGACTATTAGATTCTAAGGAAAGGCAAAGTCAGCTCTATTCCTCAGCCTCCCGGCTCCCCTGGAATCTGCAATCTGTTTACCAGCACCCCTGAATGTGCTATGCGTTTGCTCTTCACTGCTTTTCCAAATAACTTCAGATGGACAGGCAGAGAAGTCTGGTTCATTAACATCCTTACCTAGAAACACTTATCATTCACTCTGTGCTCAGCTAATGAGCTTTTCAGCATTCTTCTATATCACCCTTAGTTGTCTAACACATCCCATTTAAAGTGTAAATCTTATTCCATGGAAGTGGGCCAGGATTTCTCTGATTGCATAACCAGGGGTGATTGAAATTATATTTTGACAAAAGAGTTGTTAGTGAATCCAATAAGATGTGTGGTCTTGGGAATTTGGGAATAACAACAGAAGTTTTCTGTTTGTTCATTCATTTTTCTCCCATGCGTTTCTTTCCCCCTCTTTTCTGATAAAGTCCTGACCCTACTATCTTTTTTCTCTACGAAGGAAGTACATCTGTGGAATTCAGTCTGAAAACTTGCAGGGTATACTCACAAGATTCCCGGTGGCTGGTTTTTCAGGGCCTTTCTTCTTTGCTTTCCGTTTGTTGACGCTTGCTGACTTTGCTTTTCCACTTTTCCACGTTGCTTTATGAGCTCTGAAGTCCCCACACAGGATGCAGCATACCAGAGGGCAGGTTGGAGCAGTCTGCCTTAATCTGGTCCTTTGGCTCCTTTGCTATAAAACCTACTGAGGGCCGATCAAGAGTCAGGTTACAGTGAAATGTTTACCAGTGAAAGGAGGAGGTGAAGGAAGTAACCAAAGCATCCCAGGTTATACTCTCCAGTCAAATCTGTCTGCTCAGACAGCCTGACTTTGGTTTCCAAGCTATTTTCTTAGGTTGTTTGTGTTGTTGTTAGGCACCATTGCGTTGGTTCAGACTCCCAAAGTGACCTTACGTACAACGGAACGAAGGCTGCCTGGTCCTCATCATGCTTATAGTTGCTCCTCGGCTCAGACTCATTGTTGCAGCCCTTGAGGTAATCCCTCTAGCCGAGAGGCTTCCTCTTTTGTGCTGATCTTCTTTATCCAACAGGGTGTCCTTCTCCACTGACCGGTCTCTCCTGAGAAGTCTGAAATACATCAAGTCTCACCATCCTTCCTTTGAAGGAACATCCTGGCTGCGCTTCTTTCAAGACTTTGTTCATTCTTCGAGCTGTCCGGGGTGTATTTATTGTTTCCTGGCACATGTAAGCGAAGGCATCCAGGCTTCCATCTGTGCGTTCAAACATTTCAGTTCGAATGGTTGCTAGCAAACCAGTGCCGATCATGACTTCCTGAGCAGAGCAGCCACCAGGCGGCCTGCACGGCAACGCTTGGCCTCTCGAAGCTGTTGTGTGCATTAGGAAACGACCATATACAGTATCCTTAACAGTTTATAGGCTGTTAGCTTCCCTAACAAGCCCTGTAAATCCAAGCATTGTCTGTGGGTTCTGTGGCCATTGCAAATAGAGGGTCATTATGAGTTCGAATTGACTCATGACAGTGAGTTTGGTTTGGTGGATAACCAGAGTGCCGGGGGAGGGGTGACTGGTGTCAGAATGGGTAAAATAAGGATGGTTGGTGGAGGCAGATCAGACCTCTGCCTCCTGGGGCTCCCGTGGGGCAGCTGTGGCATTAGAGTCTGCTTCTTCCTTTGTGTAGCCAGCAGATGTCAGATCTGGCCTCCACGCCATTGCTCCACACCTTTAGACATCTTTTTAGCTTATATATAATTACTAAATAAAGAATTATAAAGTAACATTCATTCATGTTTAACACACATCACAATCCATACATACATCCATTGTGTAAAGCACATTTGTACATTCATTGCCCTCATCATTCTCAAAACATTTGCTCTCCACTTAAGCCCCTGACATCAGGTCCTCATTTCTCCCCCTCCCTTTCCGCTGTCCCCTCTACGTCTTATTTTTTATGAGAAGTAAAATAAAAATATGTGTTATGCATAGTCAAGTAATGAATACTCACAGCAAGTATACTCCTTGTGTCTGTAACGGGTCACCTGGGATTAAGTGGGATTTGGAACTACCTTCCTACCACAGCCACTCCTATCCTCTTCATTCACTGAGCCTTGATAATCCTCAGCAATCAGCTCCGCTGGCCCTGGCACTTTCCAGATGGATATGAGTCATTAATAGTCGTGTCAGAATTGAGTTTCTATAGTTTCCCAGTGACTTACTCATAGCAAAATAATAAGATAACCAAGTAAAATAATAAGAGATGACCTACGGAATCTCTGGTGTTCCAGGTACACGCTTCTTTGTCTCCATTATGTAATATCAATCCAATTTCCCCTTGGGAATCAGGATCAATATACCAACCAGTACAGTAACTGCCACCTTATCTGTTAATCCAGAGGCATAAGGGCATCTATTATGGATATTTCATATAAATAGAATTCTGTGTGAGGCTTACAGTGATAAGGGATCAATAAGCTGCTTTTAAAATTGGCCAGGCTTTCTACTCCTGTAGAGTTAGTCTTGAAAACTCACTGTTTCCTATAGGGCTGCTACAAGTTGACCTTGACTTGATGGCAGTGAATTTGGCTTTTTGCTTCTTCAGAATGCCATTCTCCCCCCTACAGTCAGAATCCAAAATGTGAGCTCAGCAAGACGTTGTAATTCTTCAACTTTCCTCTAGCTCCTAAAGGTTTCCTCCCTGCTCCCACTACCATGACTCGAATTCGATCTTGCAAGACTGGCTAGACCAGAGGAGGTACACTGGTACAGATAGGAACTGAAAATACAGGGAATCCAGGACGGATGAGCCCTACAGGACCAGTGGTGTGAGTGGCAAAACAAGGAGGGTAAAGGGAGAATGGGTAGGAAAGAGGGAACCGATTACATGGAACTGTGTGTGACCTCCTCCCTGGGGGACAGACAACTGAAAAGTGGATGAAGGGAGACGTCAGACAGGGCAAGATATGACAAAATACCCATTTATAAACTATCAAGGGCACATGCGGGAGGGGGGAGCGGGAAGGGAGGGGAAAAATGAGGACCTAATGTCGGGGGTTTAAATGGAGAGAAAATGTTTTGAGAAATGATGTACAAATGCGCTTTACACAATTGATGTGTGTATGGATTGGGATAACAGTTGTATGCGCCCCTAATAAAATGTTAAAAAAAAAAAAGACATTGTAATTCTTACAGAAAAGTACTAGATGTAAAATTTTATCAGATTACCCATTTCATGTAATGAAGGACAATCACTGAATCTGCTAAAACTTCAGAAATACATGTGACCTAATTCTAAAATATAAACTGTCATAAATAAAAAAAGTTTTCAACTAATTTTCAGGAAGAAGCAATGTATTTATGTCAAAGTAGGACTTTCTAGTCTGTCATCTAACTGCCTGGCAAAACCCTGTGCCAGTGCTTCTCAAACTTGAGTGTTCAGAACAACCTGGATGACTTGAAACTCTGATTGCTGAACTCCACCCTCAGAGATTCTGCCTTCATAGGTCAGGGACAGTCCCGAGAATTTGTCTAACAATCTCCCAGGTGACGGAGATGTTGGTGGCCACTTTGAAAACAACTTTCCTAAGCAAATATCGAAACAGTGCAGTCTTCTTCCTCAAGGCTCTTGTATCCTCTGAAGAGCTTTGATCACTTTCTCCTCCAGTGCATGTTTCTGTTCAAATCTATAGCTCAGCAATTAGCAAATTGTTTGCAATCCTTCCCCCCAACCCCCTGTCTGTCTTGACAGTGAGCCTACATGGATTGCCTGGAAGGGAGTATCACAATAGTTTTGTTATATTAATAGCTAGTATCTTGTATATTGTAGGAACTCAATAAAAGCCTGTGGAATAATGAGAAAATTAGTGAGTGAATGAATGAAGGAATGAGAGGTTATTGCTATTCTTAAGAAGTTATTTTAGACAGAGACAAATGAGGGGGCTTCCAAATGTGGGAAAGTTCCATTAACTATAAATTCCATTTCTCCATGAACTATTTGAAGTTCCCTTATGAATGCATGAAGCAGGGGCTAATCAAGTAGCCACAAACACTGGCTTATTTAGCTGAAGCACAATGGCCTGAAAGCCTTGTAAACCCTACATTTTCAGCCCCCATACCTGAAGATTTGAATTCACTGGGTCTAAGTTAGAATCTAGAAGTCTCTATTATTTCAAGCACTTAGAGTGAATGTGCTATGCTGGAGTGGGGATGGGGGAAGGGGTCTTCTTGAAATAAAGTTCAAGGGGGAGTTTAGAGGAATTGTCACTCTGTATTAATTCAACTGCTCAGATTGAACACTTTGCAGAAGATCACTGTTATATTAAGTTACTCTTGAGGACAAAAGTGTCTTTACTTAATTTCACCCAACAAGTAACATTTTATCAAGTAACAACTACTTTGCAAAACTTTTCACTGTCTCTGTAGAAGTAACGTAACAGAGTGGAGGAATTTGATCACAGCCACCAATTGTGGACTTTGTTTTGGTGACAGCAGTAATAGTGGACAAGAAGTATAAAATAAATCTCAAGTAGAGCTGACTGACCTTTAAAGGAAGGACGATGTGCCTTGTGTTTGTGGTAGGAGGTCAGGGTGATTGGGGCTGATGGACCATCCCTTGAACATCTTTGTTGTTTCTCAGAGATGCTTGGAAGCTAAAATACCATTTCGCTGTGCTTATACATGAGTACTTTGATGAGCATTGTACGATCACAGGGACCACGCTGACTGCTGCACAGAAATGTAAGAAGAGGTATCTTATGCATAATATCTTGTCTTACTTTAAATAGGGAAATGTTGAGGGAATCTCTATTAACATTCATGCTGTACCCGAGGAAATGGCATGGGTCACATTCTGGTGATAAAAAGAAGGAGAATCCAACTTCAAACCAACCCAATACCAATAGCTACAAGGCGGATCTCAGAAATGCCTTCACTCTCCGTCCTTCTTTACCCAGTTCTCATGTCGACCGCCCTCCCACTGCACTCTACTTCTCTGCTGGACTTGAGCCTTTGTTTCAATGGCTACTCAGAACTCACAGACAACACACACAATTATTAGGAAAGCTAACAGATGTCAAAGTGTGAAGGATACAGTTCTTTTGTCACATGAGCTCTTCCAGGCCTTGCTGACACGCCTATCCTCTCTTGTCCTGTGCCTCTCAGCCTATTGCATCACCGATGAGATGTGAGGCTTCTTTTCCAGGTAGTTGGGTTATAGGCTGAATGGAGGCAGTGAGGTTATGGGAGCTGAGGCGGACCCTTCCCAGGCCTTATTGTTGGTCTTGGAGCGCTACTTCTGAACTGCCTTGAACTACACCTCTGCCTTCTTCTTCCTTGCATCAGGAAGGCCTAGGAAACTAGCATCTCCTCTTTCTTATTTGAAGATATCATCAACTATTCTGTAACTTCTCATTTGACTTCCCCTACAGTTGGCTAAAAATTTTAGCTAATTTTCTTTTGCTTGGGAAGCAAAGCATGGTACAGCTTTATTACTACAGATAATTTAGTGGGAACAATAATGCCAAGTAGGAACAGTTCTCTCCAAACCCCCATTATTGTATTACACTGGGTTGTCTAGAGACACAAAACCAATGACACTCATATAGGTATATGAAGGAATTTTATATCAAGAAGTAACTTAATATCAAGAAAGGATGCCAGCCTAGTCCAATTCAAGTCCATGG